CTTCATTTGGTTCTAATTAATAGGTGGATACTCTCAAAGTCAGTCTAGCGTTGTTCAAAGATCGTTCATAAATTATAGTCTCACCGATGATTTTATGAGAAGACAATTTAGATTGGTGTTTTTTTTTTTGGATGGAGTTCTTTTCGGTACTATTCATAATTGTCATAGCTTCACAGAATATTCATTTCTTCGTAAGGTTATAAAGAAAGCCAGTATATATTGACTGATATTTCATTAGAATCAGAAGGGGTTTTGTGCAGATCGCAGTAATTTTAATAACTGATAGGTCCTGGGTTCGAATCCCGCAAGGCAGGGTTGTGGATGCGCACTGTCACGGAGGAGTCTCACAATAAGACGAAACGGCCGTCCAGTGCTTCCAGGTTTTTCATGATGGTCTAGATTCAACTGACTCATGATCTCAATTATTGATATTTCATTGATGATGAAAATAAACGACAAACTTTGAAAGTGGAAATATGATCCACTAGTCTACTATGTAGATGTAATGATATTTTGTATTGGATATTAGTGTTTGTTAGATTATAAGCTGTTCTCTTATTGATCTACAGGATCAGAATCCTATGTATCAATAACATCACATGATCTGTTTACACATCTAACTGGCGAGTATTATGCAATTTTTGGGTTAATATTTATTTCGCTGTTTAGTACAACCCGTTAAAATGCACCCATATAATCTGGGATAATGTTAAGGTATAGGTAATATGGTTGTTTTTTTAATTTTTAAATTAGAATAGACGAAGTGCATAACGGAAGAAATAATATTATAGGTATACATACCAAGGTTCGATTTGATGGTTTCAAAAAATGAGCACTGGTTAGTGTTATTGTGGTGTGTGCTACTAATGTAGACATGAGTAGTATATGATATTAGTCGTGAATAGAATGTCTGGTAGCAGAGAGACAAGAAGATCGAACAGTGAAGAATCAAGACAGAATGCAATCTGTATGAAACTGCAAGAACAATGAAGTCGGACTCATTTTGAGACAATTGGTGGACATTTTGCAAATTGAGTCTTTACTATGTGGTTGTTAGATTTTATTAACAAGTTCTGTAATTTTGTGTCGAATACATTCGATTACCCACTACATTATAACCTCTTAATAGACCGTCTTCATCCATCTCGCACTCATTACCTAGTCCCGTTGGATAGGAGCCGCGTGTAGTACCAAAGCCACTTCCATAAAGTTCCTATGTTTACAATGCTATTTTTTATCACATTTTCTTATCCACCGATGCCATAAGGTATTAGCTAAACAATCCACCGGTTTCCATCATTTTGAGCATAGCTGTCAGCGATATTGCAATCCATAACAATCTCTCAGTAGTAACGTGGTGTTAGGTATGAGAGCTGAGTTATCACTTTCATCCCCTGTCACAGAAATGCTTTGGAGGTTATTCGAAATCCTTTCTATTTCCGCGTTTAGTGATTAAGCTATCAACCTGTTAAACTTGTTTGGTAGGAACAACTATTAGGATTCTTTGAACAGAGCATATCAATGCTTGCTAAATTCCGTTTCAATGGCTAGATATTGAAAGGTTAGTATTGTTATAACCTATGGCCTTGTGCCCTATTAATATATAACGTAATGATACCGTCAATTAGAGAACAGTGATTTATCGATCAGATCAGTGACACATAAAACCCATATGAGCAGTCTAGAGTATTTAACGGTCCTTCTTCATACCGAGTCCTGCCTGTTTAGTCCAGAACATTAATCTCAACCTCTGCGATATGAATCATGTATTTCAAACATACTGCGTTTATATACGCCAGTCAAATAGACCACATCGTATCATAAAATAGCAAATAACATTTGTATATGATCTAGCCAAAAGTGGGTGTGAATGTGGGAGACTGTAATTAATAGACTGGGTAGAACTCAAGAACGGTAAATCGTATAATAATAGTTTATAGGTCAAAATAAAGCTTATAATAAGAGGAATATGAATATGCATAGTTTAGCTACTTAATAATTATATAATAAGAATATATGTATCGTATTAGTCCATAAATAGATCTCAACAGTTACCATTCATTATTCTTATCGGGATCTAACAAATAGAGAGTTAATCATAAATATATTTTTGTTATATCTCAATAAGTAGAAAAATTGTATTTCTGATGTTTCTTGACTTAATTATAAACCATTACTTCACATAAGTTTAAACTTGTGTGAGGTATAACAAAAGGGATATAACAACTGAATCTGTTGTGAGATAATAACTCGCTGAAGATAATGATAAATGTGTCGATCAATTTTGTGAACTAGTTGAAGTTAGAGTTTAACACCAATGTATTCCAGCTCAGTGGTCTAAAGGTTAAGCGTTTACGCGTGAGACCGATAGATTCTGATTTGAAATCTTGTCAGGCGGGATCATGAATGTACACTACTACAGAGGATTTCCACAATAGGACAAAACGGCTGTCTATTGCTTCCAAGTTTTCTATGATGGTCTAGCTTCAATTGACTCATGATCTCATCTATTGATATTAACTTTCTATTACAAAATATACTACTTTGCATCCTTTCTACTTATAGGGAATTATTTTATGTAAGCACACATACATACATACAAACAAACACACAATTAAATCGATATAATACATTTATATATATAATGTGTGTATATCCATAAATATATATCCAAATGTGAATCCACCAATCACATTAATATTTTATTTAGATATTCATCAATATAGAAATATAAATGCACCAATCAGAGATGTTAATACATAAATGAGCAAATATAAAAATGAAAGAAAGAAGCATATTGTACATATCAGAAGGGGTTTTGTGAAGATTTTTTTTAGAAATTTCAGTGGTTGAAATCATGAGTCAATTGAAGCTAGACCATCATGGAAAACCTGGAAGCACTGGGCAGCCGTTTCGTCCTAGTATGGGACTCTTATATGGCAGTGCGCATCCACGATCCTGCCCCCCCCCCGCGAGATATGAACCCAAGACTTATTAGTCACGCGCGCGAGCGCTTAACATATTTAATTTTATGCATAGAAACTTTCGATCTACTCTTTAAACTACTTAAATGAAGTTTCTTTAATTTAAATGGATTAATGTTTATCAATCAAGTTTTAAGATGTTTTGTAAGTTAACATGATGATATTTGTTCCAGTGGTTTGTTATAGAAACAAGTCAGCTGATTAATTGTAGCCCAACAGGGTTAAAATATGAGTAATTATAAAATTGTAAACTCAGGTTAACGGGAATGGGGTAGGATCCTATAAATTGATCAGACTATATAAAGAATTTCATTGTTCACAGCACGGATTGGTCTTAGAAAATCTGTGAAAACCAGGGAGTACTGAACCATTGTTTTGTCCTGATATGAGACTTATTAACAGTCTATACCTAGGATTTCACCAAGGATAGAATTTAAGGCCTTAAGAATTTTCAGTCAATAACCTCTAGAGATTAAGCGTTCTCTCGAAAAGCTGAAGGCCCTGGGTTCGAATCCCGCTAGCAGGATTGTGGATGTGCACTTCTGAAGAGTCCCACAATAGGATGAAACGACCGTCCAATACTTCAAGGTTTTCAGTGGTGGTCTAACACCAATCGATTCATGATCTCAACCAAAAACATAATAATTTCTACAATCCTATACTGATAGTATCTGATTTGTCCATTTAGCTAATATCACCAATTGAAATAGATAATAGTTGCACAATATTACGGATTGGTTAAAGTTAGATATGAAAACTTTTGGATTCTAGCTTGATGATTGAAGAGTAATGTAATCCTTACGTGACCTTAAGTGTCTGGGGTTCGACCCGAGGTGAGGTCGGGGATGGCAACTTTTGAGGAGTCTTGTGCCAAGACAAAACATCTATCCTGGTCCAAGAATGACTGACTGGTGATGTCAAACATCAAATCTAACAATCTTCATAATACCTTATATTAAGTGTTAAGAATTCCTGTAAAAATGAAGTTAGCCTATCTGTCCTTATACGGTGACCTTAAATACATTTTGTAAATCTATCAACCAGTTTTAACCCAGGATTATGCTATGGGTAAGAAAAAAGCAGAAAGATAATAAATTTATTTTACGCGAAATGTGAATGCTGCATTATTGCTTGTAGAATTATTAAGATACTATTAAGATCCTGAAGAGTTCTAAAGAATCTTTTAAGTCTAGTTTATAATTTCACTGTTTAGTTAAGTGTCCGTGGTAGACATTACAGAATTTCATTAAAAGACAACAAATAACTACCAGGAAAATCAAAGTTTACATAATGATTCATAACTTTTTTTTTTGTTCTATGAAGGTTAGCATTCGTTATCACTGTACAACTTATAAGTCAAGGTTATTTAGACAACTATAAATGACAACCTTTCTTAAACTGATTGTTTACACACTTATGTCAGTACGCTGAGACAATAATTTACGGACGAACTATGGGCGACGCTAAAGTAACCTTGAGAATGTCCATCTACTAGCTAGAACTTAATGAGGGTCTTAAAGCAGTGTGAAGAATTCAAATTATGATTTACAGTTGATGGTTAAGTTTATTGAGCCAAACAGATGAATGAATTTCGCGTCAAAATCCAAGGTCTGTCATCTTATATCTGATCGGTTCATCTATAAATTATAATCTCATCTTCAGTACCTTACATTCCGTTTTAGTCTAGTATACTACTGAAATCCAAACAATTAAGTAGTATTATCATCAACGTCTTATATTGAAACAAATGTATAAGTAAATGTTTATGAAATCTATTTATTTTTCGATTCATCAACAAAGTTATTTTTGAAATTAACTAACGAAATAGATCAGTCAACAATCTATGATCATTTGTAACTATGGGTAATTATTAGGAAATCCCACACAAGTTCACTTTATCGATTTCTGATAATGATAGTCATATTCAAAAAAACAATAATAATAATAACTATTACATTAATCAACTTTGTATATTGTAAATTTATCCCAATTTATAAAAGTCTTATTACATTTTAGAGGAATTTCTCGATGCTACTACACGTGTATGGTTGAATACTACAAAAATGAGTGAAGATTGCCTCTATTTAAATATATGGACAAGAGCAAATAATAATAATTATTCACATGATATTGGTGATCAAAAACATATGATGCTTGAAAGTAGCGCTATATTTGGTCCTAAAGGTGGTCGACCTGTTATGGTATGGATACATGGTGGAAGTTTAATTCGAGGCTCATCATCAATTGAAATGTATAATGGAGCTTATTTAGCTGGAAAAGTAAGTCAACAAAATTGTGTTATTCAGATATGGTTAATGGCTAAAATTGGAATTTAAAACGCATGTTTCGTCCTATGTGGGACTCGTCAGCTGGATGTATATGCATTTCGGAGTATATGTTTACTCCGGAATTCAAATCCAGTAGCGTTTACTTTAGATAAATAGAACGTTATCCACCTAGCTACTGAGTTCAGATAACAACTGTCTTGTTCAATAGGAAGATCCAAACAATCAATATAAATGAAATTGTACGGTGTTTTATCTCTGTGTATTTTGAGGATCTATCATGGATGGTAAAAAATGCTCACATATACATCTGCATACAAGCTCCACAAGATAAAATTACAAACTATGAGTTTTTGGGGATCTATCGTCCCCAACAGTGTATCCTGAATGATTGATGATGTTTATGTGTGTATGTTTGTGTGTTTACATGATTTCACCTGTATTTTGGATTAAAAAAAAAAACTAGAGCTTTTGTGATAGATTTAGATGTTAATGATATAAACTAACGGTACGTTAATCAGTGCTAAGTTAATTAACAATAAATTTATACTTTACTGACGATCCTGAGGAATTTAGTAACCAATGAAATATCATTGTCTAGTTATTCAATAATTTATAATAAAAAGTAATAAATTAGTGATAAGTCTTGAGATTTTGAACGCTATACTCGATTCCTAAGCTATTCTTGAAGACCACCAAGCTAGAACTATACAGCGACCTGAACACGAGAGAGAAGGCGCAAAGTATGCGAAAAGTACTTTACTTCAAGGTTCATTTTTGTACAGAAAAACACGGGTATTTATAGATGTTAACATTTGTTAAATCAACATCATATCTTGGCCAATCCGCTAAAAGACATATTATGCTACTGACCAATAGTAGCACGCCACGTTGGCATTCTAGAAAGCTCCATCGTGCTCTGATTGGCTAAGACTCTTCGGCTCCTTCAGGGCCTCCGGAGGCTCTGTTGCAGTTCTCGGAAAACCGACTTAATTAGAAAGCAAGAAAGGAATGAAGAGTGTGATTAGAGTTATGAATTAAGGTTTCAAATGTTAAGGTTAATAGTATTAGGAGGTGAGACTATAATTTAAGGGACGATCATTGAATGGTGCTTAAGTAACCATGAAAGATTTCAATCGATCATTAGATTCAAAATAAGATTATAAATTAGTATGAGGGATTAGAATTAAGAGTTGGGGTTAGAAATAAAAGAATTAAGATTTACATCATGAACTGACATCAGCTAAAATACCAGAACGATATTAATCCAAATGGATGAATGAATTTTACACTAAAATCCAAGAAGCTCTACCTGAAATCCTATTGGTTCATACACTAGTAATAATTCTTTATCCTTGATTATGTATTGAATTATATTAAGTAGTCTCAAATACAATTGGGCATCAGTTTAGCATACACAACATGTTACATTCACTATCTAATTGCAACAACAACAAAAATATATTTTCATCATATTGAATATTGAGTAACCAGATATATACTTTCTTTTTATCTAATCTCTAAAAGAATACAAATTATCCACCACTTAGCTTTAAATTTTGTGCATAAATTCAAATGGCTCAGCCTTAAGTCTAATTAGTTCTTCTATAAAGTATAGTTTTGTCTAACCAACAGTATATAGTAATGTAATCTAGATTACTTAATTCTTTGAGTAGTTTGTTACATGATTTTGAAAATCTCTATACACCATAAATTTATTTAATAATTTACAAATTCAGGAGACTTTTTAATGGTGAACTACAACATAAGGCCAGGTGAATATGTACATCGGTCTAAGTTATCATACCTCATTAGTACAACAAGATTAACACCAAATTCATACAAGTAGTTAATTCAATGGTTGTAATATATAAAAGAACGATTGTGTATAAAGACATAATACAGGAATAAAGAATTAGTTGGTAGAAATAAAGATATGAAGCAATTTTAATTTTATAGTTTAAGGGGAGACAGAGAGTGTATACACCTACACCATTGTGATCGATTCTGAGCCATGTCACACAGAGTTTCCAACACTTGGTTATAATAGTCACGGCAACCCAAATCAAGTAGTCTGTATCTACCAACATGGCTCAGACAAGAAGTTAGTGACTTCAAGCACTATTCCATTATTGTTTGTAAAAGAAAGCATCTATAATTTATATTTGAGATCAACTCTAAAACATTTAGGTGTTGACATTGTAATAAGCTTGAATGCTAGAACGAGTTCACATTACTTGGTAAACGGAACGAAGGTCAAAGATACGGTGACACGATAGGCTATTCTAATCCGTTGTCACAGACCCGCTAACCAGAGAAAGAAGTCAATGTCCAAACGGGGAAGTATATTCCATAAAAAGCCAGAAGCATGAGCGATAACAACAGGTACAAATCAAATATATATATATATATATATATATATATATATATATATATATATATATATATATATATATATATATATATATATATATATAGCATAAAACTGTCCTTGGGAAGCGTTACAAAATAGCATACTAAAATATAAAACCGACCAATAGCGTTAAAGATTCTCCCAATTGGGAAATACGACATGAACGTGGAAAGAGCGCTTTTGGCGCGAAAAAAAGAAATTCAACTTTTCAAAATAAAACTACAAAATTAAGGTATTTACCAAGTGAGTTCTGGGGATTTAATTGCGATTACATCTGAGTCGTACAGGAAGTTGGTCGAGGCTCGGATGGCTCAGTGATAACGTCTCTGACTGTGAAGTTGGATGACACGGAATCGAATCCATCAGAGAGCACCAGTTCCCTCAATATTACAGGTACACCTTGCTGACGAGTGCCAAGTACCAAGAAATCTAGGTTCAAGGTTTCCTATTGGTTACTTCCAACCACCATCTAATCTCACAATAGTGCATGCAATGTTGAGTCACCTAGACTTGTGGCTACATTGCAACATGATCGATAGCATTCGATCTGCACTAATAATGACTAGACACGTATGACATTGATCACTACCCAGTGGTCAATCAATTGTGATTACATCTCAGTCCTACAGGGGATCTAATATCCCCAACATATTAAATAATCGTTACAATTAGTTTCAATATGACTTGAATTAAAAATCTTAATTTTTAAAATTCAACTTAGAAACTGTATAGTGTATAACTCAAAGCAACCAGTTAACTTTCAAAGGTCAATACCATTTATATACCATTATATTATTAAGAATGAATAATTATTTTTAATCTCTCTATTGTTATGGTTATCTTTAGTTTACTTAACTTAAGAAAGAACCATTAATTTTTTTTATTTCACATGATCGGATCATTTGATTAGAAAGTTCATAAATAACACGTACAATTTATGCTTTACTGATTATTACACTTCACTTTTTACTTAATGTCATAATGACCGTGAAATAATGACCAGAAAATCTTATATTCTATATTGGTCAATATTAGATTCATTTATCTCAATGATTATGATAAGTCTTGAACTTTTGAACGCTATACTCGATTCCTAAGCTATTCTTGTAACCCTCAAGCTAAAACTATCCAGCGACCTGAACACGATAGAGAAGACGCAAAATATGTGAGTATTTTACTTCAAGGTTCATTTTAATACAGAAAATCTAGGGTTTTTATAATATTTTAAATATCCTTGGGTTGTTCGGAGATTCTGGAATGCTACTAAACATAGTAGCAGTATAACACTCAGACAATCAGAACTTCTCCATGTGACGTTTCACATCCTTAATGTTTCTGGCTAAAACTCCAAGTAAACGCTGATTGGATGAAATGCTTCTTAATGTTTCTTGATCCTTGAGTGTCTTTTGCGAGAAATTTTCTGGATCATCCCAACAGATTAAATAATACATCAAATTGTAAATTGAATTAAAGAGGATGTATGTATCTGTAAATCTAATGTTTTGCTTAGGAATCTGGTTCAATCTTTTTTAAGGAAATACAATCAATCGTTTATGTTTGTGCTAATAATGTTGTTCAGAAGAACGATGAAAGCTCTACGACCAAACCATCGAGTTCAGAGAACAAAACTCCATTAAAATAGGTCTAAGATTATCCGGTTCACTGTATACTGAATAGGTCATCCAATCAACGTTAATAATATTTCAAGTAAGTATTTACATTAGTACGTAATGCAAATACTTACTTTAAACATTGTTAACTTTGATTGGATGACGTATTCAGTCAGTCAGCTACAACGTAACACTATGCATCGGTTCAAGTTGTCATACAACATTAGCACAGCAAGATGAACATCAGATTCATGGAAGTAGTTAATTCAATGATGGCAACCTATTCAGTATACAGTGAACTGGAGAACCATGCACCTATATATATTCGATAATTTTGATGTTTTGATTATGTTTCCTTGAAAAAGCTTGGAACACATTGCTAGGCGAAACATTAGATTAGCTTTAAATTCATTTGCTGAGATTTTACAAATACATACTTCCTCTTTAATGTTTCACATCAACTCGTTGACCAAATACTGTGTAACTATCCAATCAAATTTAAACAAATGTTCTTATTTATGTAAACTGAATTAATCTGTTCACTTCTATCTATCATAATTCAAGAACTCAAAGGATTGTATACATTGATGATATGAGTACAACATACCATAACAATAAAGTAATCATCATTTGTACACAACTAAATTCATAAGTGATACAGAGAGAAGCAATAAGTAGATAAATAATTAACGTAAGATGCAGATTAATAATGAATGATGATAAATCGTTTGATGTGGTTGTGTATCTTCATCGACTGAGATGGTTGGGCTACGTGTTACATATGCCTGAACACCGATTACTACTACGAGCAATGCTGACTAGTGTTGTGGATGGCTAGAAGAAAGTTAGGGGAGAGGGCGGCTAAATCAAAACGTGACATCAGCCCATGAAGTCATTAACTTCTAGTCTGAGTCATGTTGATAGATGCAGACTATTTGGTTGGGGTTGGTGTGGCTATCATAACCAATGGTTTGATACTCTGCATGACATATCACCAAATCGATCACAATGGTGTAGGCATTTACGCTGTCTTCCCTTGAACCGTGAGATTAAAATCGCTTCTTAACTTTCTATCAACTAATTCTTTCTTCCTGTATTATATCCTTATACACAATCTTTCTTTTATATATTACTACCGTTGAATTACCTGCATATATGAATTTAGTGTTGATCTTGTTGTGCTAATGAGGTGTTGGCGACTTGGACTGATGCATATATGTGCCTGATCATACGTTGTAGCTGACTGACCGACTGACTGTTCATTCTTTAGTTATAAGATACATATGGATAGTCAATAAATTCAATAAAAGCTTATAATTATAGGAATACTATAAGCCAGATCTTCCATAGTTCTATAATAAAAGTATACATGATAATGCCCCACAGAATAATCCCAAATGTTTAACTTTATCCTATATAACAGTTTACTTTGTAATAAAAACCATTTTCAGATATTTTAGTAAATTTAAATGGTGATCAGTAGTACAATTCAGAAGCGGTATTTTGTCCTATTTAGGACTCATTAATTTGATCAAGCTATACATATATTGTTGAATTACGGTCTACTATGATATTAGCACTGCTCTAATAATAGACCTAATCCTAAAATTGTAGATTTATCATGATGTAACTGCCTAATCTATAAGATCTTACGTGGGAGTTACATCATCGTCTACACTGATTCATTGCATTGTAACAATTACCAATACGTGATAGAGAACAAGCTTAGGCTAGAGATAGAATATATTTAATATGAATAAAAGATACAAGATAACATTTAGCTGGGAACACGCCTGCAAGGCCGAGCCGTGCCATCTGACCAACTCGTATTAAATTCAATTCCTTCTCCCCGTTTTCTCCATTCTTCTGTATTTCTCCGCGTTAAATGTTTAATGTCTATTTCTCATATTGTCTCGTGGTAGGGCCCAATGCCACTACAATATACATGAATGACGGCCAACAATCTGCAGTCAGATTATAGATCAGACAGTAGCTTATTTAACACAAAAGATAGCAGTCGCACACATTCACACACAATGTAGAATCCATAGGGCAATCAAAGTTATAATATATACTGTAATTATAGAGTAGCCCAGTTTGTTTTCGATTACTAACCAATCATAACCCACAACAATGTGAATGAGTACTGTTGACTAAGGTAATAGAATCAAGTAAGTTAATCTCAAAGTAACCCCCGAAAACTATATTAAGACATTGATTTATGAATTTATTGATTGAGAAAATGAATAGTTTACGAAATTTTTAACTTTCTTACTGGATTCAATAATTCGACTTGTATTTAAAATGGTCTGATTAAATTAATCGGTAATATAAAGTGGTCTGTCGTTATGATTTAATCTAGTTTTTTTTAAATACACTACATAAAATGGGGTACAATAAAATACGGAATTCAAAAATAGTAGAGTTTAGCGTATACGGCCACTGACAGGGAAGTCCTACTTGCAGCGACGGTGTTGTTTATAAAAATGAGTGAACAAAAAGTGAATATCTGGCTGATTAACCGAGCTGGCGGATATAGAGGATCTACATAGAAGAGTTGAAAAACACTGACTTTTAACCATTATTGCACATGAACATGGTGTGTGAACCTATTGTTGATCACCGGCTACTTTGTAACCGTATTTTCACTTCCTTGTGGAGTAGACTTTCAGGTCATAGGCTCAGCGAGTGCCCCCCTAAAAAAACCACTCATTTCAGTTTGGGCACTCGGGAAGTATCCCAAACCCCAAACAAATCGAGTGACTAAGTGTGACGCATATATATTTGTTGCCTCGTTGTACCAATGTTTATGTGTTCAAATAAATAAATAAATAAGAGTTTAGAAGCATCATACTATAAAACACTACTCAAATCATTGTTAAATGTAAAAATCAAGTTTGAAACAATCTCAGAAATTGAGTTTTGAACAATTCTTATATTTCATCCAATAAACTGGTTTGATCCTCTTCAGTATAATAATTAAATTGTCTAGCTAAGTAAAAAAGCCTAATAATCTACATACATCATTATTACTATCATTAATTCATTTATTATGATCAATTGTTGTTTTTTTTATCCATGTACACTTTTTATTGAGATATGAATCTGTATATCCATCTTGTTCATCCATTTATTGTACTAAGTTGACCGTTTATTCGATGGTTGACTAACAAACTAACCTGATCAACTTTCCTAACAAATTTATTCAAACAATACACCGATTTAACTTGCAAGTCAATCTATTCAACACAAAAACTGATCATTACATGCTGTTCCAACCATTTGTGGTTAGTAAAGCCTTATCTGATGAAGCCAGTATGGCTTTTATGGAATTGATTTCAGTGTATTCAAGCCTCACAAACCTCATCACGTGAATGTGATTGTATAGGTAAATCGATGAAACATCCGGGTTTCGATACGTGGGTGTCGCACCATTGGCAAGTATACATGCACACCGACAACACGCACGTTTTCACTCATACATCCCGTAAGAGGTATATTCACTAGCCTACTTGAGTAGATGATCACCACCCGCTTCGAACGTATTCGCTACAACTGCCTGTCTTTCACGCATTACATGCATACCACTGGTACGAAAACTTTCGTCCGTACACTTCATGACACACACATAAGTATGAGCACTCTCAGAGAAGGGTTAATGGTCAACTCACCTTCGTATTTGATACCACATCTTTTTCTTATCTCTTCTAAATGTTATTTCAGGCCTCTGATTTTATTAGACATAGAACAGGCATTTCAGCAAACGTTTGTTTAGTGAATCAGGTGCATACCTTTTGTATATACCTTTGTACACAACTACATGCAGTGATGCATGCAATTCAATATACATAAACATGCACACCGGGGGAACTTTCAAGACCCGGTGAGCCCCGAATTCGGAAACTACTAGTAATCCAGTTTATAGAAGAGTGGTGGGTTATTCAGATCTGTACTGAGTGCCCAAATTAGCTAGCAAGTTTCCCTTTCTACCCAATGGTGTTACGTGGAGGCTTTGAATCGGATTTTGCTGTTACCTCTCATTTACATATTAACCTCTTCACATCCTACGCATGGTCCGTCAAATCAGTTTTGTATAAAATACATCTATTTCTCAAAAAACAAAACAATTTCATATCCTACTTTTAATATCACGTTATCAAGTGAATTTATCTATTCAATGTAATTATTCTCAGGAATATACTGAATTAACCAGGAATCAAATTCAATTGAAGTCAGATGTGCTTATAAGTGATTCGAATAGACTTTGATGGTGTTTCCTTCCCTGAGCTAGATGGTTTGGTCGTGGAGCTTTCATTGTTCTTCTGAACGTCATTATCAGCACAAACTTCATGTAGTGCTGAAACACCATCAAAATCATTCACCTGAACTAAAAATCCTTCGCACCATTTCGATTTGACTTATTCTTCCAAAAAACTCATGTTATTCTTTGTTTGTTTGTTTGTTTTCTCTCACTTTTTACAGATGAATGTTGTTGTCGTCAGTATACAATATCGTCTAGGACCATTAGGTTTTCTCTACTTAGGTAATGATGAAATACCTGGAAATCAAGGTTTAATGGATCAAGTAGCTGGATTACAATGGGTCCGTGAAAATATAGCTTATTTTGGAGGAAATCCACAACAGTAAATTATAGTTTTATTATTTTGTTTTTTAATTATCTCAATTTTTCATCTTTTATAACCATACTACTAAAGTAGTAGGTATTTTTTTAAGGGTATGAAGATTACCTCTAGCAGTGGCATCCATGATTCGTGTTTCGTCCTTTTTAAGGCTCATCACTTGGAACAACTTATATTTGTGTTGATTTTTTCAGCTCGACTCAAATCCACTACCTTTCACTTTAAATACTCACTGCACTACTGAGCTTAGATAATCATTCAATTATGAAACGGGTATGATATTCATATAACTATTAGAGAGGATTGAAATGATCCCAATGTCAATATTATTGACTGAAATTTGATCAGCCATTGTCGATATATGTACATCGTTTATAGAATAGGTAGAATGGATCTAAAAATCTTGTATCGAGGCAATTACGAGAAGACGGATATATTTCAAAATAGATTGATTAAATTTCAGTCAAGAATGTTAACAACAAGATAATTCAAGTCCTCTCTAATAATTATGTAAATATAAGACCCATTTCAAAATTATGTAAGTGTCTGGACTCACTAGTGAAATGGATAATGATATAGGCGTTTGAATTGAAAGAAAATGGATTTGGTTCGCACTGAAAACATTAACACGAATATGGGTAGTTTCGGGTAGAGTCCTAAACACGACGAAATGCTTGTCCCGGATTCCGTTGCTTGGAATAATCCAAACATTTTATAAGAAACCTACTAGTTTTATTGGTGGGTTTTTGCAGGTTCATTTGGTAAGGTAATGGTTGGAGGTAGTCAACAGGAAAACCTGGATTTAGGTTTTGTGCTATTTGGCACCCATCGACAAAGTGTACCTGTAACCTCGTGGTCTGGATAGCTCAGTGATGATTGTGAGACTAGGTTACACGAAAGCGAATCCGCCGAGGAGAATCAGTTCCTTCAAGAGTAGGGTTATAATTTTCTGCTGAATGTCAAACATTAGGAAGCCTGAATCCAGAGTTTCCTGTTGACTATGTACGACTACCACTTTACATCTCAATATAATGCACTCGATACCAAGTCACTTGGACTAATGGCCACATTGCTACTTGATTGAAAGAATTCGATCTGCAATAATAAGGACTATACATACATGACATTGTGATCAATCAATTATAAAATGTTCATGTAGTTGTTTATTGAGAACCGCTTTAGTTGTAACGGAGAAAATAATAAAGGATTTACTTACTGGTACGAAATACATGAAATAATATAATAAGTTTTACGCAATGAATAATAAGACTTGGCATGGTAGACCACAATATTCGATAGGAGATAGTTAGACCACTAGATTAAACTACTTTATAAAGTGACAACGATTTCCTACAAACGATCGATGGTCAAATTATAGAGGCACAGTGCAAGCAGTACACGTACAGCGAACTCAGAGTAGAAATCAGTAGTAGAAAAGAATTCACAATGCTGTTTAATGTCTCATACATTTAACTAAACTGACTGCCTATCGTCATTCACTAGCTAGTTGGAACTCACTACCGAAAATTCATTGTAAGACAAACTTCCTTAGTTATTTTTTGTGATAAATTTTCCTAAAACCTGTGAATCGGTTGATACTTTCATCTCGTAGTAACCCATACTCCATAAAGTATAAAATCTGAGAGATTTCTACATTCCTTTGATAATCTATAGTAAACAAATAGAAGAGTATAAGATTTTAGCTGATTGATTAATTGCGTTATAGACTGTGGACAGTTTCCTCGTGTGTTAAAGTTATACATATGATCTGCGTCAACACCTGAACTAAGGATAGGGAGTAAAGTAGTAGAACGCATCGACAATCTCACTTATCATAGAAGTTTGATCAGCCCTAATGAATTGATGTCTGACGAAATCTATTCGCAGATTCAAAAAGTTCATTTGGCTTTTGTCAACTTACACCACCTATGAAGAAGACGAGATATTCGTCTATCAATTAAAGGGTGAGTATACTGAGCAGCAGTTCATTCTTATCTAATTTACGGCTGCGAGACGTGGCCGTTAAGAGTAGAAGATACTTGTAAGCTACCAGTATTTGATCGCAGATATCTTAGAAAGATTGCCCGCATCTGCTTGGATCACAGGGTAAGCAATAGTAAGATCAGACGCAGAGTATTAGGGAACAATGGTAAATTAGTTGATGAGGTTGTAAATCTTCATCGACTGGGATGGTTAGGCCACGTGTTACGTATACCTGTAATCCGATTGCCAATACACGCAATACTGACTAATGTTGGGGATGGTTGGAAGAATGTTAAGGGCTGTCAAACCAAAACCTGGCATCAGTGATTAAAGTCACTAACTTCTGGTCTGGCCCATGTTGGTTGATGCAGGCTACTTGGTTGGGATCCGCGCAGCTATCGTAAACTTTGGTTGGAGACTCTGTGTAGCATGTCTCAGAATCGATCACAATGGTGCAGGTGTATACACTCTCTGTCTTCCTTCGAACTATGAGATTAAAATGGCTTTATATATTTCTTTCTTATTGTACTATATCCTTACATAAAATCTTTCTTTTATATATTACACCATTGAGTTAACTACATCTATGAATCCGGTGTTCATATTGTTATGCTAATGAATTACGGCAAGTTTGACCGATGCTTATATGTGCCTGATCCTACGTTAAAGCTGACTGACTGAGGTAGATATGAGAAATAAATTGAATCTTAATCGATTGAGTTGACTAACCACTACCTAGCTTAATAGGTAATGTTTGCCGATGTAGACATGTGGGCTAGAAGAAATAAAAGATCACTGGAAATATGTTATTAATCTTTTAATTCATGAATTCTTGGTCTGAGTCATGTTGGTAGATGTAGACTTCTATGTGGTTATAGTCCATGTTTTAATCACGATTAATAGTTGAAAACTTTGGATGACGCTATTCGGAATCAGTTAAAGTGACCCATATATATATGCACATATTATTGTTATTTGTTTGGATCCTGAGTTTTAAAACTATTTCATACGTTTGATTTAATAACTTTTCTTCAATTATATTGTCTTAGTTTCTACTACCCACAAATTTACTTTAGTAATCTCTTCTGTCGTTGTACCGATGTAGTTTGGCAACTTAAACTGATGTAGATATTTTACAAGTTCTACATTCCTTATAATTGACTAGCTGAATCCGATCATTTAAAACGGTAGTATGAATGTGATGTATGAAAGGGAATGATAATGATTAGTTGTTTGCTTAGTCAGACTTATAGACAGTCCGATAGGTGTTAGATGAGTTATAGATTCTCTTATCCTTATTATTATTAGTCGTTGTCGGATTGTTGTCGGTTTTAGTGTGGAATATACATTTACGTTCCAGTCAGGCTAATCACTTGTTCTTGATCTGAGTTGTGTTGAAGTCCTGTAGAATAGATACTGAAAGGGGGGGGGGGAAATCTAGTGTAGATATTCGTCTAAGGTAAGTAAATTAACGTTCCATTTGTAAAGATAAAGAAACACCGATCGTTATAACAGAATGATTTCTTGTTAGATTATTACAATAATTCAATTAGTAAACATAAACTGTATTTTGAAACTGTTTTGCATTTTATTTAATTGATTCGTAAATTTAGAATTACACTTTTTGGTCATTCCGGTGGTGTTATCTGCGTTGCACTACATTTAATCTCTCCAATATCTAATCATTTATTTCAACAAGCAATATTACAAAGTGGTTCACCATTAGCATGGTGGGCTGTTGAAAGTTCGCATACAGCTTTAGAAAAGGTAAATCATTTGTAATATTTATGTATTATAGTGTTTGATAAATTTTCAATTATAATCAGAGTGGGGTTTTGTGGAGATTGTAGTAATTTAAGAATTGAATTGATAAGTCATTTGAAGTTAGACCACCATGGAAAACCTGGAAGCACTGAACGGTCATTTCATCCTATTGTAGGACTCCTCAGCAGTGTGCATCCACGATCCCGCCCCACGAGATTCGAACCCAGAACCTATCGATTTCGAGCGCGAACGTTTAACCTCCAGATCATTGAGCTGCTCGTCATCCAACGGTGTTAATGTTTAACTTCGACCAATCCATAAAATCGCGCCACTGCAACAGACCCGGTTGAACTCCACTGGCCTTTTAGTGCTTCCAGGTGGTCTTTCATGGTTTTCTAGCTTCAATTGACTCATGAATTCAATTATTAGATTTCAATTGTCTATTTTTAATAATATTTAGAAAAGATAATCATTGTTTAAACAGTTGATCAGTGTTCTATAGTTTTCAATGGTTGTCTAGCTAATGTATTAATCTGTAGTGTGGATGAGTTTTAAATGATAATTCAATTTGAAAAAGAAACATAAACGAACTCATTATGATTAGTTATTCTCTAAACTGTCAATGTTTCTTTAAATGTATACAAGGTATTCTCGCGTGCTAGACTGATAGGTCCTGGGTTGGAATCATGTGAGGCGGGATCGTGGATGTGCACTGTCACGGAGAAGTTTCATACTAGGACGAAATGGCTCTCCAGTGCTTCCAGGTTTTCCATGGTGGTCTAGCTTCAATTGACACATAAATTCAACTATTAAATATCTTTTTATGCTGTGAGGTCATCGAATTCTTATACTGATATACTAGCTTCTTATACACTAGTCCAATCAGTTACTTGAGTGAGTAAACTAAAAGTGAGCAAGTTTTTTGTGGTAAACTAGATCGAGAATATGTATACAACTCATTCATAAATATAGATAAATGTCCCTCAAGAAATGAAGCCATCCTGTCAACCAATAACATATGTTTATTTCCTCATAAATTGACTAAAAACTCGCCTCATTCAGTATCATTGACTTATCCTTTAACCTGTCTGATTGATTCAGTGTATCGCATCCGTACTTGGCTGATAATAATGTTTAATTTTTTAAAATTCAATATATTACTAAAATGTCAAGATAATACAATCGATTGGTCACAGAGTATTGACTAAGATATCATATTTATATAATCCTTTGAGTACTGATCGAAAGATTCGATCGATTAAGTTGTCATCTGGATACAAGCCTAAGTGACTTGACATGGTATATACTAAGTTAAAATGTTAAAGATTCTTCAAGAGATCAGTCATGGTTCAAATAACTCAAAAGTGTAATATAAAACTGAATGCTATTGGTTCGAATCCAAACATAAAGCAACAGTTCCCTTAAGATTTTAGTTATACTTTATTGATGAGCTTCAACTAACACGAAATCCAGGACAATCAAGGTATCCTGTTGATTGTTTTCAACAATCTAACGTGGGAAAATTTACTTTGATGAACCTATTGAAAACTGATTACCGAGTCAATTCTTGTGTATATTTTTTATACAATGGTCTTGAGTTCTGTTAGAGGTTATCGCTTCCCGGTTGTCCACACCATAGAAGGGTTCTTCTGGAGGTTCATAAAAAGGAAATTGGATTAGACGTGGTCTTAGTGACCTGAGAGCGTGACCGCAGTGCCCAAGGGACAACTGCTTGTGGTTGGTCACACACGACCTTTTTGTGAGTAATTTTCATGTTAGCTCCGTAATTGTTGAGGCCATACTTCCGGAGACGGATATTCGTGGGATAAGGCGGGGTGTGTATTTTTAGGGCCGATCTTTTCTAACCTCACCCCTCTTTGCGGGAAGGCAGCATCGCTGTCATGCTGGTTGTCTGAAGGAAATATCTTACTGCCGTCACATCTTTATACACTCAGCAGTACGACTTCGCCTTAGGACCTTGGGTTTGCTGCTTTAGTCTTACCATTCTTTAACCGACCAGTCTGGTATGGTAAGACCTTGAGGAACGGTTGTTGTTGATAGGCATTCCTGACCACCACGTCAAGGTAGCAACAACGGTCAGGATTAAAATCGCTTCATATCTTTCTACGTACTAATTCTTTCTTCATGTACTATATCCTTACATGGAATCTTTCTTTTATATATTACCACCATTGAATTGACTATTTCTATGAATGCGAAGTTCATCATGTTGTACTAATGCGGTGTGGCAACTTGGACCGATGCATATATCTGCCTGGTCCTACATTATAGCTGACTGATTGTATATTTTTTATAGTGTTTCGCTTATTTCATGAACTTGTGGTTTTTATTCAAAGTACTGTGTTTAATGCATGTTAATTCATTTTAACAAAACATGATCATCAACATGTTTTTTTTTTCTTTTGTTTCCTTTTTTTCATTTTAGACACGTTTATTAGCACAATTAAGTGGTTGTAATGCTGTAATTGATTCAAATGGTCAATATTCTAAAGAATTAGTTAAATGTTTACGAAGTGTAGATTCAGAAACATTAGTTATCAATCAATGGCATATGCATTTATTACGTAATGGGGAGAATTCTTCAAGAACTAATCAATTAAAAAAATTATACAGAAATAGAGCAAGTCACCATGTATGTATTGATTGCTATTTGCTTTCATTTTTTTACTTATTTATAGAATGTCCAATATATAAATAGTATTAAGCAAAGATGGATAATGGTTAGCAGGGTAATCCAGGACGTGCGTTTCAACCTATTTGGGACTCGTCAATTGGATGTAAGTGAATCCTAGAGTTGATGTTCACTCCGGGATTCGAACCCAATACCCTTCGCTTCAAACGCCATTGCGTTATCCATATAGCTACTGAGTCTATCTTTGCTTAAAAAACCTTGTGACTTAAAGTAACATCAAAGCAATACGTACAAGATGTACATATGCCAATAAGAAACTGATCAATTGCAATCTTAAACATCAATGAGAAGATCCAAGTAGAATAACACCAAGTGAATATAATAAAATTTGACTGAATGCTTCTTAGACAGTATTTGTTTTGATCACTAAACTATTTCTCATGATACCAAATGTATATTTTGACATTTTTCCTTCTTTGACAGCTTTTAAGTACCGCTGGTTATTATTATGATGTGCCATTTAAACCAGTAGTTAGTGCTCCATTTTTACCTGAATGGCCATATGAAGTATTAGGTTCAGGCAAATTGAATATTCGTCATCGTATTATGTTGGGAGTCAATAAAGATGAAGGTTTGTCAGTCTAACTATTAAAATATTTGCATTTTATTAATAGATATGTCTTTTTTATATTCCAATGAGTAGAAAAATTGTATTTCCGGTGTTTGGTGACTTCATATAAACCACCTCTTCAGAGCAAATAAATAATGACATTAAATTAACATAGTTGAATTCACGAGTCGATCTAAGCTAGACCATCATTGAAAACTTGGAAGCATTGGATGGTCAATTCGTCATCCTATGGAACTTGTGTTAATTTAATTCGTTTATTTATTTACTCTAAAGAAATGGCTTGCATTAAGTCACGAAACATCAGGAATACAGTATTTTTACTTATTAGGATAAAGCGAACTCCCTACCTCATGCTGAAGTTATTTGAAATTATGAAGTCCAACCTTGGCATTCATACTTATTTGCATGTTACATCACTCTTTTTGTAACCTACCTTTATTCATCTTCAGAAGGGGTTTTGTTGACTTTTTGAAAATTGAAGCTAGACCACCATGGAAAGTCTGTAAGCACTGGACGGTCGTTTTTTCCTAGTATGGGACTCCTCAGCAGTGCGAGTCCACGATCCCGCCACCCGTGAGATTCAAACACAGAGCCTTCAGTCTCGCGCAAGGCGCTTAACCAACTAGACCACTGAGCCGGCACCCGACGGTGTTAATGTCTAACTTCAACCAATCCACGAAGTTGCGCCACCGTAAAGGTGAATGTAGTGGATTTAAAAAAAGTCGATTCGCTGGGACTAGTGAATATGAGTATGATTTCTTATCCTAAGTATTAGAGTGGTAGGTTTGATCATAACTAGTCTGAATTTTTGTTTCACTAACCAGTTATGAATAAATCAGATTCCTATATGTATATCCAGTCAGTTTGTCATACATGTTAGAGAGATCCAGAATATTCCTCAAAAAAAAGCACCCAAAGTGGCCCTAAAAACGCTAGGAAACATTTTATTCAATCAGCATTAAATGTAAGTTTCTCTGAAACATCTAGAAAGTGAAAAATCATGTGTTACATTACTGATTTAAGGATAACCTACCCTGTTACTATGTTTAATATAGTTTCAGAACCTCCCAGAAACACAAGACTATCTGAAATGCTATAAATACCCCAAATTTTCTATAAATAAGCTAACCTTTCAGTAAAGCATTCTTTCAATATTTCGCACCTTTTTCTCTCGAGTTCAAGTTGTCGTATAGAGTTAACCTGGGGGGTTATTTGAAAAGCTTAGGAACCCAATTCAAATGTTCAATTAGAAGATTTATGAATACACAGAGTGAATAAAAACTCATATACGGGAAAACAAATGATTGTTCTATGCAAAATTTCTCAACACATTTGTAACATATAAAAGTCAGACATTAAATATACCATTTGGATATCTTCTGCCAGTTGTCTTTAACATACTTTAACATTCTTCTGTTCCTATTGTTATTCCAATTGTTCTTCTTTTTTGTTTTCTCTTTTCTTGAATTCGCTCTTCTACTGATGATCCAACTTCTATTAATTCATGAATTCAACTTTTCAATTATTTTAAAGAGAGCTAAAACAACAATTGATACAGAATAATAAATGGATTCATTTTATTTCGTTAAGTTCTCATCAGTTGCTTACAACCTAAAATATTTGAATATCAACGTTATTACAGTTATTGACATACTCTTATACATCAGAAAGTGATTAATGGATGAAGCAAAGATTCCGTTAGAGTTAATGAGGTCATAAAAGTTGTTTGTTTCGAATATATATAGAGTTTAGGAGGGAAGGTTCCATAAACATAGAAATAGTGATTAGAACTCATGGAATTAAAAAAAACACATTAGATGATTATGTAATGAAGTGATTGAAAATAGATTAATGGTAATAAAGAGAGATATGAATTGAAATTGGTCAGTTATGAATGATATAATTATAAGATTTTGGAAAGAGTTGAAATGACGTAATCAAATAAAACGGAGGGGGGGGGCGGGGTAATGTTACCAGGGCAAAAAAAAAATTTATTACTGTTTCTTTTTGTATACAAAGATCTGGTTTTAAACATTTGATTGCTATTGCTTCGGCAAATTTTAAAAGGTTTAAATTTGATTGTTTGTTAATCACCTTGAAGGACTTCAGTATATTGACTTCGTGCCCTGTGTCAAGGAGATATCTTGTGATAGCCCTGCTGAATGCTTTTAGTCCATTTGATCTCAAACCCATCGGAATATGTTCTTTGAATCGGATTTAGGCTCTGTCAAAACAGTTACATTAGTTCTACTCATGTAACTTATGAATTCATATTCTTTTAACAATCATTTATTTGTCTGTTCTTTTTTTTTCTTTGTCTAATATTATCTAGGCATGTATCATCTTGTACAAAGTTTAAGAATGTATTTTATGTCACCTGGTTTATGGCCACAAATGCCAAGAGAATTTCGTCATGATATAGCACTTATGGATCCTTTAGATTTATTAGCATTTTATATAATGGATGAAAATTTTCTTCAATCAGTTTTATTACAAGCTACTGTTTTTGAATATCAAGTAAGTTTTATAACGATTATCTCAATGATAAGTTAACATAATAATAAGGAATGGTATCATAGAAATAAAGGTAACAAATATTTGTTTGTTTTTCAATCTGATCCCTTGATATAGGATAATACAGTTTGATACTGGATTTCGCTAGGGATAAGAACACTAGATAGATCAATAGACTAGATTATATAACCCAAATAATCAATATCTAAATGGTGATTATAAATCAATTTACAGGATAAAAGGATAGTTTATGAACACAGATATAAGTAAACAATACATAGGGAATTAGGGTTAAATAGTAAAATCGTCATATATAGATTACTGTAACTGGATATATCTTTCGTCGCTTATTGATCGATCATTACATCCAACTTACTTAGACCTATCAATGAGTTTACATTTTTAAAGTAAAAAATGTAGTTTTATTTTTTTTTGAAAATTACTAGTACACCTTTTGTTCATAAGAAGAATGAAGTACAGAATCAGAGTTTGAATAGATTCCTGTTGTCTACGAGCTTATTTGATAAATGTTAATGGAATTATTTTTCAAACAATGGATGAATAAGATGGATATTGGCTAGCAGTGGAATCCAGAACGCGCGTTTCGTCCTATTTGGAACTTGTCAGCTGGATGTACCTGTATCTCAGGGTTGATGTTCAGTCTGGGACTCGAACCCAGTACCGCTTGCTTCAAACTTCATCGCGTTATCTACTAAGCTACTGACTCCTGATACCCATCTGCTTGTGCAATGGGATAATACAAGTAAACAACACGAATTGCACAAGCAGGTGGCTATCAGGACTCAGTAACTTAGTAGATAACGCGATGGAGTTTGAAGCAAGCGGTACTGGGTTCGAGTCTCAGAGTGAACATCGACTCTGAGATGCATGTACATCCAGCTGATGAGTCCCAAATAGGACAAAATGTGCGTCCCTGACAGGTTTATTCCTGAGATTTTTAAGGATGGAGGTTCAGTATTAGCAGTGAGATTGACTGAGATCCTAGGGAGAATTCGGGAACTGGACGTAATCCCATCTGACTGGTCTCAATCACTGATTGTGCCAATCTATTAGAAAGGACAAAAGTCTTCTTGTAACAATCACAGAGGAATTAGTTTGACTAATATTGTGTCTAAAATATTAGCTTCAATATTACTTCGACGCCTAACCAAAGCTCGTGAAGAGCAGATTAGAGAAAACCAGGCAGGTTTCCGCCCTGGACGTGGTTGTATAGACCGAATATTCACACTACGTCAGGTCCTAGAACATAGGCACACATTCAGACGCCCCACAATGGTAGTATTTCTAGACCTTAAGGCGGCATTTGACTCTGTTGATCGTGAGGTTCTATGGCAGTGTTTGGCACTGAAAGGAGTACCGAAGAAGTACATTAATCTTGTAAAGGCTCTGTACTCGAACACAACTGGTCGAGTGAGAGCTTATGGCGAACTGTCATTAGAATTGATTACCTCAAGTGGTGTTCGTCAGGGCTGTCCACTCTATTCGTTCTTGTTCGGACCTAGGTTTTGTGGCACATGATACTCGTCAGCAAGGTATGTCTGTAATCTTGAAGGAACTGTTGCTTCCGAGTGGATTCGATCCAGCTTTACCAAGCTGACGAGTGTCAAGTACCACGAAACCTAGGTTCAAGGTTCCCTGTTGACTATCTCCAACCACCGTCTTATCTCAAAAAGTATAATACGTAAGGTGTAGACCAATCGATCGGATGAATAAATTGATAGAAGTTTAGATAGATTTATGAACCTTCAAAAAAGTATCAATTATTGTATTATATATTGCTGTCAAGAACTCAATTTAAATATTTTTTCACAATTTATTACTTACTTACTCCTGTTACTCCTTGTGGAGGAGCATAGGCCGCCCACCAGACTCTCCATCCAACCTTTTCTTGGGCAATCCTTCCCAGCTCTTTCCAGTTTTTATTCATTCTTTTCATATTTGATTCTATTTCCCGACGTAATAAATTCTTTGGCCTTCCTCTTTCCCGCTTCCCTTCAGGATTCCAAGTTAGAGCTTGTCTCGTGATGCACTTTAATGATTTTTGTAATGGATATCCTATCCACTTCCATTGTCTTTTTCTAATTTCTTCTCCAGCTGGAAGCTGGTTTGTCCTCTCACACAGTAGGCTGTTTCTGATGGTATCCGGTCAATGGATGTTGAGTATCTTGAGTAGACAACTATTATTAAATACTTGTACCTTCTTGATGGTGTTAGTAGTAGTTCTCCACGTTTCATCTCCGTACAGTAGAAATGCCCTGTCGTTAGTATTGAAGATTGTGACTTTGATATCGGTTGATAGTTGTTTCGAGTTCCATAAATTCTTCAATTGTATTAATGCGGCCCTTTTTTCATAATTTCAGGTATTTAAAAAAGAAAACTGCTAGTTTAGGTTCTATGGTTGATAGAATTCATTACTTATGTCATTTATGAAGGCTCATGGTAAACTCTGATACGTGGTTACCTCTAAATAAAGAGAAGAGTACCAGGAAGATGATAGCATCATTCGAAACAAACGTTTTATAGTCGATTTCTGATTATCATAGTTTTACTAACCGACTGATTTTAGTTAGGATATTACTGTACACCTGGAAACATTAAATAGATGTTTCGTTCATCCACGACACCATCTACAAGGGATCGAACCTAGGACCTTCGGTCTCGTGTATGAATGCTTAACCTTTAGTCCACTGATTATCTATTACTTAAAACAAAATATATAAACAAATTTTTTGGTTGACTAACACTTTTTTCGCTTACTTATTCAATGTTCATTTTTAGATTCCTAGCCGAGCATTAGGCACTGGTAGTTGGACATCATTAGAAGTTGTGAAAGCATTGAATGAAGTGGGTGGAGATTACAATATAAAATGTCCAGTTGTTGAATTTGCTGACTTCTATTCCCGTGGACCTAATGCACAGGTATGATTATTAAATTTAACCAACGAAGTGATGTATGTAAGCTTCGAGTTTTTCTTAAAGACGATTGTTAATAAAATTGAAACGCAACATGAAGCTTAACACCATGTGATATGTCGACAATATTTTAAATACCAAGTTACAAACTACTCACAAGTAGATTGTTATCTTGTATGAAAATGTCTACCCCACTTGGGGTAGCACCGTCGGGTAGGAAGGGAAAACTAGCTAGCTAATTTGGACACTCAGTAGAGTTCGGAACAATCCATTGCTCTGCTGTAATTTGGATTACTCGTAGTTTCCAAACTCGGGGCTCACTAGATCTTGAGGGTTTCCCGATGTTTATGTTTATGTATATTGAATTGCTTGCATTACTGCATGTAGTTATGTATATAGGCATATGCTAAAGGTATGCACCTGATTCGCTAGACGAACGTTTACTGAAATGCCTGTCCTATCTCTAATAAAATCAACGACCCAAACTAACATTTAGAAGAGATACGAAAAAGTTTTCGTACCAGTGGCTTGCATGTTGCATGAGGTTGTGGCTTTGAGAAGTCACTAATAACTTCATTCAAGTGATTGAAGTGAAAATCACTGAATAATGACTTGTCAGCGCCCTTTGAATTTTATGAAATGTCATCTGAAATAGTTGATAGATTAAATAATAAAGCCACTGGTTATCACTTTGTTTAAGGGGGGAGGATATAGAAAGAGAGAATCATTTAAAGATTCACCCTTTCTGCTTATGATAAGTAATAATGGTTAAGTAAGCACTGGAGAAATGATCTCAAACGTCGCCATCAACACAGAAAATATGATCTTGACTATGTTGTTTTTTATGGTATTTTAATTGCCTAAAACGTTATAGAACGATATCATAGAATTTTAAAAAGCAACATGTTACCATTTTGTGGTGGTTCATGATTTGGGTTTCCATAAAAATTCGAAAGCTTACCATCAATGTTGTGTATTGAAAAAAAACAATAGAAGAGTAACATGAGATGCACTTCGTGTTGTTTGGGGCTCGTCATCTAGATCAACAATGGGATAACATCAAATCAAAAATGTCTAGAAGTACAATGTAGGTTTATAACATGAAATGTACTTTTCCCAAACTTTTTAGCACTATTTACAAATTATTTTTTTTACAATTATTGCTGTCAAGTACTATGATTAGTGCCCCTTTCAGCCAAACTAGTTTGTAAAGCTTAGTAAGTCCTTTTAGAGAAGAGCCTATATCGAAGCACAATACAAGTCAGTCAGTCAGTCAGTCAGCTGCAACGTAGGACCAGGCACGTATATGCATCGGTCCAAGTTGCCATACCGCATTAGCACAATAAGATGAACACCGGATTCATGGAAGTAGTCACATCAAAGGTAGTAGTGTATAAAAAAAAGATTGTGTATAAGGAGATAGTACAGGAAGAAAGAATTAGTTCGTAGAAAGAAAGGTATGAAGTGATTTTAACCTCTTAGTTTAAAGGAAGATAGAGAGTGTATACACCTACACCAATGTGATCGATTCTGAGCCATGTCACCAAGAGTCACTAACCATTGGTCACGCAGTACAACCACCTGGGTTCAAAAGTTTTGCTTGCGGTATTTTTTCGTCTTTGGTTTTATTCCCTGTTTGGTAATTGCTGACCATCTATTTACTACATAGCAGTGATTGATTATTCCTTTCTTAGTTGATAGGGTCTTACTACAGCCTGGATATGGACATTTATTTAGGTTATTTAATGCGGTTTTAAAATCCGTTATAGGTTGATTGTGTTGGAGATGGAAAGATTCAAAATATTTATTGAACCAGACCAATGTCTTATAAGTTTTATTGCAGTCAATTAAGGGATAGTTGTAATGGACTTCAGTATAAGGTTTATTTTGATGGTTATTCCTATAATGCCTATTCATTTCTTTAATTGTGTCAAATATTCTATTGCCATTTTCATTTTGACATACTAGGATGAGATGACTGTCTAGTGCTTCCATGTTTTCTATGGTGGTCTAGCTTCAATTGACTCATGAATTCAACTAATAGAATATGTAATTTAGTTGATGTTTTCCTATTATCATAGGGACATATTGTTGATATGGATTAATTTTAACCGTGTTCGGTTGATTTATCCAGGTTCTAGGTAATTGTTCGCCCATTTCCTCAATGTCTTGGTGTAGTTACCTTGACGAATCTTTAGTATGGACTTTTCTATTGTTGCTTAGGTTTTCAATACTGATATTTAAATGTCTCAGCATTAGGTTATTTGGTCTTTTATATGCAATATACCATAGATTTAGCCTATTTTGCATGATTTTATTAGCTAAGTTAGGTTAGTTGTTTTCTATTGTTTAAACCTAAGATCATTATTCGTCTTATTGTGTTTAGAACCGTTTTTAATCTAGTCCAGTCTCGTTTTCTTAGTACTATGGACTCTAGTCCATGTGTTAGAATGAAGATTATTGAAGAATCCACCAGTATGATGTTAGTACTAAGGTTAAGTTTTTTTTACATTTAAGTACTGGTCTAATCTTAATTATCTCAGTTTTAGCGTTTTTCTATGTTGTAAGGTATCGCGTTGTCAGGGGTTCTTTTGTTATTTATAGTGGAGCTAAGATACCGGAAGGTTTCTACTTCCTCTATCTCTTAGTTGTGTATATTAACAGTTTATAAGTTGTCTTTCTTATTTATTATCATAACTTTGGTTTTGAAGATTGATATTTTCATATCAACGCTAGTTAGGTATTGTTATTAGGTGATATAAGGCTTTAGTAACCTCTTCTGTAGTACTAGTAATTAGATACAAGTTATCAGTATATTCTAAGTGTTTCATTGTTCAAGTTCTAATATGCTAATCGTTTAAAGTAATTACTATGTCCCGACAAGAATAAGGAATGTTAACTTTTGGGATACATACATAATTGTTAAATAACTAAACTATTTATATTCATTTTCCTCTTATTATCAGCTTTATTTTGACCTATGAACCATTATCATACGTTTTACCATTCTTGAATTATGCCCTCTCTATTAGTCACTGCCTCCCACATTCACAGGCACATTTGGCCAAATTTTGTACAAATGTCATTTCCTATTTTATGCTACATTGTGGTCTGTTTGATTGGTATATAAACTCAGTATGTTTGAAATATAATGTATCATATTGCAGAGGCTGAGACTGGCGTTCTAGACTTAACTGGCTGGACTAGGCGGAAAGCAGGGTCAATCAGAACTCTAAACCGCTCGCACGTGTTTTACGCGTCCTTGATCTGATCGATAATTCACTGCCCATCTACTCGGCGGCCCCTCAACATATAACAGTAATCCCCAATAAGATTTTATCTATTGTATGTTCTAATAGATAAATAGTAACTTTTGTTTTTTGCATGACAACTATTTTGTATTTTTTAATTTTTATTCATTCAAGGTATTTCTTTATTCATTTGAACATCGTACAACTAGTTTAACATGGCCTGAATGGACAGGTGTTATGCAAGGTTATGAAGCTGAATATATATTTGGTGCACCATTTAATCAAGCATTTATTGATCATTATTATAATTTTACATTAGAAGAAAAACGTTTAAGTGAAGAAATAATGCAATTTTGGACAAATTTTGCATCAACAGGGTAAATTTAAACTCTTTAATGAACATTGAATGAGATGAAAAGTTATTTAAGTAGAATAGGCAAATGTTTATTTTATTTATTTATTTGACCATATAAATATTGATCATAAGGGACATTGAATAGATATGTGCCACATATATCACTTGGTTTGTGTGTGATCTGTATTACTACCCGGGTGCCCAAACCAAAACAGGTGGTTTTCTATGGAGGCTACACTTGAAACATTTGATCTAAGGATCTGATCTACAAGGCAGTAGAGTAACGTAAGGAGATACAGTCTCATGGTAGCTGGGGATCAACAATTGGTTCATACACCATTTTTCTTTCAGGATCCTGGAGCCCATGTGCACCATTAGTTTGGAATCAGTGTTTTCGAACTCCCCTAGATGGATCCTCCATATCCACCAACCCGGTTAAACAATCGATATTCGCTTTTCGTCTTCTCAATTTCGTAACCAACATGCTCATGATGCGAGAAGGCAGTGAGTAGAACTTCCCTGGGAGTAGTTGTATGCACGTGGCCATGTGAGAGCATATGGAGAGAGAGAGAGAGCTGACTCTCCCCACTCTCAGCCTTACCAGGGCATTTAGGGGCGTATGAGCTAAAAATACTCGAGTTTTGGCAGATATCTTATAATGGAGGTATCATTGTTTTACTGAATGAAACTGTAAACTGAAATGTTAATTAAAAAAACTACATGTATTCCACTTCTATTGTGAAATATTAATCAGTAAACATTGCATGAAGTTGAATTTCGCCTGAGTGTAAGACGCAGATATCTGTTTTCACCTCTTTGATTTAAATGCATGTGCAGCGTGAAGAAAATTATTGTGACTTTATGTCCGGCTAGTTATCACGTGATTTATCCACCAATCAAAATACAACTTATACAGTCTCAGCACTGTGCCAAACCAATGACGTTCGACTGGTATGAGCAGCCTAGTGTCCTTATTGATCCTATGTTCACCTAACCCGTCCACTTGAGCCCAGAATACCAATATCAGCTTCCGCTATGCGAATGGAATCGAATCGGATAGAATAATATATTTCAAACATACTGTGTTCATATATCAAACAAACAGATCGCAACACACCATAAAATAGGAAATAACATTTGTATACAATAAAGCCAAAAAAGTGGCTATAAACATGGGAGGCAGTAGTTGATATATTGAGCATAATTTAGGGTCAGTAAATTGTACAATAATAATCTATGGGTCAAAATAAAGCTTACTATATGAGGAATATAAATATACATAATCTAATTATTGAATAGTTATACCATAAGAATATTTATAGAATATTAGTCCATTAATAGTCCTCGGAAGTTACCCGTCATTTAATCTTCATTGGAATTTAACAATGATGAGTTGGGTTTTTTTTCTTTTGGAAAAGTCATACACTCATTGTTACGAGAGAGTATTTCAAGAAGGAGGATGAATTTATCCAGACTTGTGTATTACATGACATTTAAATGTTAACTCACTGATTAACTTTAAGTTTATATAATCAACTTTGAGTAAAAGTGTTTATAAGAGCTATTATGGTCGAAATCTGTGATCTAATGATTGAAAGTAGTGTACCTTAACCATTAAGAATTCCTTCATTGCTATTTTATTTGTCATATACTTAAAGATATTCCTGACTTAATAGCAATATTAAGGCAATCCACACAGGGTGCGCATATTTCAAAAAGAGACTGATCTATTAAAGTCCCCAATATCATGGAGAATATTCAAACAACCAATATATATATATATATAAATTAACCTTCATCCTATTGCAAAGCCATTAGTTATATGAACTTAGTAGATAAGTGGATAACGTGATAGTATTTAATGAGAAAAGCACTAGATTCGAGTGTCAGAATCAATATCAACTGTGAGATGTGGAAGCTAGGTTCAACTGACGAGGCCCAAACAGGACGAAATCCACGTCAAGTATTGAACTTCTAGCCTCCGTCCAATCCCTCAGAGCACTTTATTATCAATATTTATTGAGAATTCGTAAAAGTAATGATAACCAATAAAGAAACTACTGGTTTTGATTTGAAACAGACTAGGATAACTGATAACGTGTATTAATTGGTCACTGAGTGAGACGTAAAGCTGTACCATGTTATCTAGATCATCGAGTTCAGGAATACTAATTTGTTGGTAAGCTTGAATTATCACAAAATATAGGCCTTTACTAACTTAAATCACTTGCAGTATAATCTAGATCTCCGTCTGCTAACAAAATGACGGGTTTCCTAACACAACACTTTTCACTCTTTTAATTTTTGGCTATAAAACGTGACCTTCAAAATTAAATATTCACAGAACACTGGTATTGGATTACAGATACTTTCAAAGCATTCCATATGTATGTTGAGATCACCAAATGACACAGGGTACTAGGCTGAAATGACAAGTAGGTTGATGTTATAATGAATCTTTATTGACTAAGTTGTTCAAAACACGTATTACGTATGCTCAACCACAGTCAATCTCATCTCACGACATGTTCTTGTGTATGAACACGTCTTATAGTTATCATAATTCCTTTTTTTCTTTTTATTGAAGATCACCAAATTTAAATCCTGGAGAATTTCATACACGTAATAAAGAACTTTACTGGGATCGATATGAAACATATTCACCACAATCTGTAGCAGTTCTCAGTGAATCATCATCATCTTCTACTTCATCTTCACCATCCCTTGGGATATCAGGAGTATCAGTATCAAGTGTATCATCTTCAGAAATGTCTTCGTTTAAAACACGAAATGATGATTCACGTAAACATATGGTTTTTACATTGCCACGTTCATATATAAGTAAGAATTTACGTAGACATTATTGTATGTTTTGGCGTGAACAATTACCAATGTTAAGAGAACGGATTTTATATAGTAAGTTAAAGAAAATGTGATTTTGCTTTTGATATTACACTTTTTTTAAACATTTTCTATAGTTTTAAGATTGTAAGGAACTTTCAAAAAACTTAAAAAACTATAGTTAAGTTACTCAAAGTATAGTCAGAAAGGGTTTTGTGGATATTATTGTAATTTTGATAGTTGAGATCATGAGTCAATTGAAGCTAGACCACTATGGAAAACCTAAAAGCACTGGACGGACATTTCGTTCTATTGTGGGACTCCATCATGATAGTACGCATCCATGACCCCACCTAGCGGGATTCAAACCCAGAACTTATCAGTGTCGCACGCGAACGCTCACTGATGAAAATGGTGGATGTGTCGCTCAATTTCGTGGATTAGTTGAAGTTAGACATTAGCACCGTTGGATACCGACCAGCTCAGTAGTTTAGTGGTTAATTGCTGGCGCATGAGACTAATTAGTCCTGGGTTCGAATCCCGTGGGGCGGGATGGTAGATGCGCACTAATGAAGAGTTCCAGAGTTGAACGAAACAGCCGTCCAGTGCTTCCAGGTTTTCCATGATGATCTAGCTTTAATTGACTCATTAATTCAACTATAAAATCACTAAAATCTCGACAAAACCCCCTTCTGATAATATTAAAACAATCATGCCTAGAATTATTATTATTACACTGTTGTTTTTTCTTATTTTATTACAAAACATATCAACTAATTAATGGTACTTTTTCATCATTTATCTTATCCTTATCGTTATATATTAGATTCTGCGTGTAAATCCCGTCAACCAACTACACAATATGAAATGACTGGTAATATAAACAAACAATCTGTAGAATCATTTGGTACATTATATCCAAATATCATTAAATCATCTGAATTAAATACAACTAAACGTAATCAAGCATCATATAATTTACAATTAAAAGTCAATTACATTTTAAGCTTATATATTATTTACTATTACCGTTATTACTAATACTACTACTGCTACTACTACTACTACCACTACTACTACTACTACCACTACTACTACTACTACTACTACTACTACTACTACTACTACTACTACTACTGACCTGGTAACATTTCAATGCAATTCAATCGGTTGTTACTGTTTTTTCATTATTACTATGATTATTATTATTAACCAGTTGAGATTCTATCCTTTTTATTGTTTCTATGGTTGTGATTAACTATGACTATGATATGATGGTTGTGACAAAAGAATAATAATATAGATCCAAAATCAAATTTACATTTTCTATTAATCATCAGTTGTGATTTTTCTCTCACTCACTCACCCTCTCTCTCCCTCCCTCCCCCCTCTTTCTCTCTCTCTCTCGTTTGTTTGCTTATTGTCGCTGTTTTCTTTGTTCATTTTTTTCTCTGATAGAGGAAGGGGGAGGATTGCTTTTATTTCAATTCATATTTTTTTCTTCGATTTATATCAAATCATTTTCGGTAATGTAACATTTAAATCTAAATGGTTGTGAACACATTTCGATGATAACTTTGACGATGCATTTAAACAAGCATTTTTTGTGGGGGGAGAAGGGGGGGGTATTTCCCTTATAAGGTTGTGAAAATTATTAATATTATATGTTCAATTTATTCCATACATATTTGTATGCATTTCGTATGTGGTACATTTGAAATTTCCCATTTTAATGCATTTCAACTAATCAAATTTGTTTACAAATAAATTTCTTTGTTTGTTTCTTTTTTTGTTCGTTTGTCTTTTTTGTGAATCATCTAATGTTGGAGTTTTTTTTTTAACAGAAATACTTCTTATTAGTCAGTATTATTATTACTACTACTTATAATACTTATTTCAGTAGTATAAATTTATATACAAAATTGGTTGTGAAAAAATGGTTATGGTTGTGAAAAAAAAACAAGTTTCGGTTGTGAACAATAATCTCTCTTATTGAATTGTTTTTATTTTATTTCCTATTTGATTAATGATCAGTGTATTTTTTTTTCTGTTTTTTTTTTCGTGTTTTGTTTAAATTGAACTTTATTATCCAGATAAAAATTTTTGAAAAATCAAAATCTTATTGGTAACTGACAGTTTGTTTGGTTTTTATTAATGACATATTACCTGCTTATCCGTTGTGATAATTTTTATCTTTATTGATTGATTGATTATGATATTAGTAACAATAATAATAAACTAATAAGTAATGATAGTAAATTTTTGAATGACTTGAAGGGTTACTCATAAGTAGTATGACTTATGTCTAAAAGTTATATGGTTGTTAGTAGTGGATAGGAGATTCCAGACCTTAAAGTGTAGTAGTTATGATGTTAGTAGAACTGATGCTTACTGATAGTTTCGGATAAGCAATGCTTAAATTTACAGTGTGAAAAATTATCAAACAGTTGTTCGAATCATGACAAACCTACTGTAGGAATAAAATTTCTAAAATTGATTGAATAGTTGTAGTGTATGCTACTTATGTCTGTTAATAAAAGTAGTATATAAAACTAAACAGAAGTGGAATGTTTGTCAGTAGAAGGTTGGATAGATCGGATCGAAAAGAACGGAAACAGCAAGTAATTATTATGAAAATGAAGGAACGATGAAATTTGAGATAATTAATGGAGGATTTACAAATGAATTATTGAACGTATTGTCTTCACATTTGATGAAAGAATTCTGTAATTATGTATTAAGATACAATCGGTTGTTATCACCTCGTTCAAGTCAATGTCATCTTTGTCTGAACTTGTTATAATTCTTTCTTATTGTAATTCAGCTATTCCTATTGCTTAGTATTCTTGGTTAATTCTTAACTAATCAGCCTGCGCCAACTCAATCATGCATGGATCATGCTTTAATTCAATCTATATCCCACTAACAGGACCTTTAATAGTGCTGATCAAGTTCCATGTTGTTAGATGACTGTTAGATGATGTTGATAGAAAACTTTTCTTGACCTAAGTTTTGTACAAGTTCACTTATCATCACTAATATACATTAATGATGATATTATACTTTTACTGGATGATAACGCTAAAATAACTCAAATGTAACTTAATGACAATTACTTTTAGATACATTTGAATGTATGTTTCATCTTTGATTTAATGGAAACCAGTAATAGTTCTCAGTTTATTTCATAGTTTCTAAATTTACGGGATTCTCCTATATGCTTAATCATAACCTTTTTAAACGTTGAGATGGTGGAGAAGTATTGTAGCTCAGGTGGATGATTTTGATGGAGTTTTGTTCTCTGAGCTAGATGGTTTGGTCGTGGAGTTTTCAAACTTCAGATAGAAGTTTGTACTTATGATGTCGTTCAGAAGAATTATAAAAAAATCCACGACCAAACCAACTAGCTCAGAGAACAAAACTCCTTTTTAAACGTTATTAGGATTTTAAAATAAATGCCAACATACATATTATTGTCAATGATGTGTACGTGTTTAGTTAAAATAAATTAAACTCTTCAGAGAGGAAAGAGTAGATATTGTATGATTTTAATGATAGGTGACTTATTTGATGAATATAAAGTTTCTAAGGATATGATTAGAGTATCATATAAGGTGCCTTGTGGGTCAGACCTTTAAGTCAAAGGCTCCGGGTGTGGCCCCCAAAGAAAACCACCTGCTTCGGTCTGGGCACCCGTGCAGTATTACAGTCGACACACAAATAAAATTTTGTGTGGCGCATGTATATTTGGTGCCCTCTTGTACCAATATTTATGTGTTCAAATAAATAAATAAATAAGCTTAAAGCCTTAGGTACTGGATTCCAGTCTCAATAATAACATCAAAAGTGGGGTATGATAGATAAATCCATTGAACGAGTTCCACGTAGGATGATATACGTCATTCTGTCTACTAGAAGTTACAGCCTATTTATTCTCAAAAACTGATGATAATATGTGTAAAATTTTAAATAACAAAAATTAAATGTGTAGATCATCTAAATCAAAGTTCCCATTCAGAGATGTTTTAGTAAAACAAAACAAAGTCAAACTCAATGAGTTTAAAGACCGTAATATAACGAACAATTTCCGAGTCAGGATAGCATATTGAATGTGGATCATATGGTTGAAATATAATTAAATTGTAACTATCAATATGACGTTGGTAAACGTGAAGTTTTCTATCGAATTGGTCTGTGTAGTAAAGAGAACTTTTAGGTTATGGGGTAACCTAAACGTTGCCACCAAATGCCCTGGTACGGGCCCCCGAATGCCCTGGTACGGCGCTATAACCGGATCCCAAACCAATGGTGCACATGGGTTCCAGTATCCTGAAGGATCAAATGGCGTATGAACCAAATGTTGGTCACCGGCTGGCTACCATGGGACTGCATCTCCTCACGATGCTCCACTGCCTTGTGGGTTAGACGTTCAGGTCCAAGGCTCGGGGTGTGGCCCCCTAAGAAAACCACCTGCTTCGGTTTGGGCACCCAGGCAGTATCACAGCCCTCACACAAATCAATTGAGATTCGTGTGGCGCATATGTACTTGGTGCCTCCTTGTACCTATACATATGTGTTAAAATTAATAAAAATAAATAAACTTAAACGTTTACCAAAGAATATCAGACAAAGATGATAACTTTCGACCAGATTATAGGACAGATAACCTTGAACGACTTTAAAAGATGTTAAAATCTACTCAGTTATTATCCACTTATCAGACTGATTAATGAAGAGTTTAGACTTAACAATCAAGGTTAGATTTAGGATTAAGATTTAAGGTTAAAATGAAAGTACACACAGACTAATCGTACATCCTTATTTTATGTCATAGTGTCTTTACTACATTCTAATTCTAACTCTAATCTTAAATCATAATTCTGAAAATGAAGCACAAATCATAATTCAAAACCCTGATTTCAATCGTAAGCTTTAACGCTACTTACAAACCTATAATCATAATGTATATATTTCTTGAATATACTTTGATTTTGTATCATACTTCATACATTCACATTTACTGTATTCTGATTGATTAAAATCTCAAAGTCGTTCGAATGTATACCTTAGCTTCACCATGATGTGTATATGCAAACGTAAATTTTTATGTTACGTCAGTGATCAGAAGGTGCTTATGGTGGATTGTAGTGTGCGCTATTTATATACACATAAGTAGTATATAATCATAGTCAGGCATAGAATATATATATCAGTAGAAGATCGAGAAGGAAAGAACGGGAACGGAAAGCAATCGGTATGAAAATGAAGGAACAATGAAATCTGAAACGATAAACTGATATTTGCAAAAGAAACAGTGAAGTTTGAGACAATTGATTGATAGTTTGCAAATTAAGTATTTACTGTATGGTTCCCAGATCTTATTGAGATATTCTGTAATTTTGTATTCAAATACATTCGGTTGTCCCCACTAGTGTTCACCTTTACTACATTTAATGTCGCTTCCAACCAGGAAAGTTAAAGGGTGCTGTTCTGTGGACGCCTTCGTGGGCCTGAAGTTAAGGTGCCAGTTGGGGCGGTTTGGTGTGAAGGTTTGACGCCTAGTGGAGTGTTCTGGCGGGGCGGCGTTGGCTGTTGCTGGTACTGTCGAACGAGAAGAGTGGTGGAATGCACGGCTTTTGGGCGGACATCAGATTTAGATGGTTCAGCATGTAGTAAAGGTGAACACTAGTGGGGACAACCGAATGTATTTGAATACAAAATTACAGAATATCTCAATAAGATCTGGGAACCATACAGTAAATACTTAATTTGCAAACTATCAATCAATTGTCTCAAACTTCACTGTTTCTTTTGCAAATATCAGTTTATCGTTTCAGATTTCATTGTTCCTTCATTTTCATACCGATTGCTTTCCGTTCCCGTTCTTTCCTTCTCGATCTTCTACTGATATATATATTCTATGCCTGACTATGGTTATATACTACTTATGTGTATATAAATAGCGCATTATAACTTTTACTTGTATTTACAAAACTGAAACGACATGCTCTGTTGTATAATGTAATTGATTGAGTGTGAAATTTTCAAAATATGTTTTACAAATGTAAGTGATATGAACCATACATAATTATTGATGATACATTGTTACTAGTCGGATTGAAGTTTAGAACAGATAATAAATTCGGAATAGATGACGACGTTTTAATTAGTGATTCACCGATGTTGAGTTTAAGCCAAGCAATTTTACGATCTCTCATATTTAAAAAGTTTCGGATTTGTAAAATATGTAGGTTTCTGTTCTTTAGTCTTTCCTTATTAGGTTATAAAGATTTCCTGGAGAACCTTGTTGTCGTAGAGGTTACTAAGCGAATGCTTTATTCAGCCATCTGTTGACTGACTGATCACTGATTAGTAACTAATGTCAAGTTTTTTTAACGTTTTCTTTTTTTGCGTTGATCATATCCCAACAATGAGGTTGAAGTTTGGTCTCAAGTCCAAGTGACTTGATTTCACGTGGTGGCTGGAAATAGTATACAGGAAATCCTGCTTAGCCTGAATTTCGTTCTGCT